AATTCTATTGGTTCTAACCCAGACTTCTAACCAAGAGTTCACCCTGAGGTGGCCATTTTTGTTCTCGCAAAAAATTAATAAATGTGACAAGAGTTTTTCTTCTTCACTTTTGTATTGGGTTACCTTGATATCATTAGTATTATATATTTTATATTAAAAATTTCTTGCACTTTAGATTTTTAATTTTTTTCAAAAACGTTTATAAACAACAGAAAATTTTGTATATACCTATATCTATGTATGTGTGTTGAAATGGACGATAGGACTCCAGATTTTTTAAAATATTCAGATGAACTAAAATTAAATTGAGGAAGTAAACAAAGCATCAAAATTATTGTACGAAGAACATTATCTTCTGGACTGAAAACAACGCACATGGCTTCACTGAGAACCTTCAGAAAAGTATCTTTTCTCTGTAAATTGTGGGAATCCACAGAGCTCCATTATTGATCCTTTTTATCAGAAGACGTGGCTAGTGTTGTCATTTTGAATTTAATGAAGAAGACAAAGTGAAAGTGAGTCAGCCTTTTTTTTTTTTTTTTTTTTAACCTCAGGTGAACGAGAAAATTTTGTTGAACAGAAGATTACATTCAACAAAAAGACATAAGGGTGTTTGTCTAAGCTTATAAACTGGTCAAACTTGCTTATAAGCTTTAAAATTAAGCTGACCTGTTTGTTTATAATTTTTTTGAGTTTATAAGCTAAAAAAAATAAGTTGGGGCGAGGTACTTTTTTTTTTTTGGCTTATAAGCATTTTGCTTATAAGTTAGTTTGACCAAGTATATTACCACATTATCCTTGTTTAATTTTAAAATTTCATAGTATGCCATTGTTTAATGTAGTACCTTTTTTAGTAATTTTATAATAAAATATACTTATAAGCCACATTTTACCAAACACGTCAATTACTTATCAGTCACTTATAAGTATTTTAACCAAACACGTAATTGCTTAAAATTTCAAATGCTTATAAGTTAATTTTAGCTTATAAGCAATGGTTGCTTATAAGTTAATTTTCATAAGCTTAGACAAACGCCCTCATAATGAGCCTTATCATGGTTGCTTATAAGTTAATTTTCATAAGCTTAGACAAACGCCCTCATAATGAGCCTTATCTTTTCAGAAAGCTAAAAACAATAAAAGTTAAAAGGAAAATATACAAGATACATGACATTATGCAAAATCAAAATCGAAAAAATTAATAAATAACATTAAGCAAAAACAAATTGAAAAAGTTAAGCATAATGACAAACTTAAATTGAGATCTCAAAGAAATCTTAAGTTTGAATCTCTCCTCAGTTACTAATGAGAATAGTCACTAAAATTTTTACTCAATCTATAGTTTTAGGGTTTCAGTGAATTTATTGAGATACGCGTAAGTTGATTTGAACACTTCCGATCATTAAAAAATAAAAAAAAAATTGAGATATTAGCTTAATTTTATCTCTTTTTAACTTCAGTCTTAAAGATAAGAAGCTATTAGATTCTTCATAATTGTCATGACTTTAGGAATTTTGGCAAGGATAAATAATTTTTCTTTAATTTGATCATTACAATTATTAGGTAATTGAATTTTGGCAAATGAAATGAAAACTCTGGGCTCTAATTGACTAAAACTTTCACAGATTAAAATGCAGATTATAGAACATTTGAATTTTTTCCATGAATCATCATTATATTGTGGACTTGGAAATAGTGTAAGTCCACACAGATTATTAATTATTTATCTTTTTGAAAATATGAAGAGTAGCGTGAGTGGAGCCAATTATTTCTTCACTTGAATCATGAATTTACGAACTTGAAAAATTGGAAGTGGACTCAGCTCAATTGTATCATCTCTATAAATTAAGTGATCTTGAAGGCATAACACCCTCATTGTTTCTTCACTGGCGGCGGTGGCTGCGATGGTGGTGGCGACGGTGGCAAAAATCTATTAGTCTTTTTTCAGCAATCAACATCTCTTGTTATACCTTACTTTCCATACTTGGAACGGGGGAACTTGGGAAATATAAGCTAATGTATTGTAAGTATTATAAGTTTCTATTTTTATTTTTAATCTTCTTTGTAAGTAAGTTTTATAATTGTAGTCATTTTAGGTGGCTGATATTATTAAAAATATTATTTTATTTATAGGCATGGAAATTTTACATAGAAGCTGTCATTGGTCTTCGTGTTCTTCGTAGGCTTCGAAAAGGTTAGTCTTCACGAAAATAAAATGTTTTGTTTTCAATATTTTAATTTTACGAAAATAATGTTTTAGTAATACTGCAAATCCTGAAACTTTAAATTATATTATCGAATTATTGTTATTAATTTCCATGCAATGAATTAAGGTAGTTTAGTCATTGATGCTTTGTGGTTTTTCAGTTAATTAATGTTTGTTAATATATTTGCAACTGCTACTGTACAGCTATCTACTCATCTAATGATCTGTTGTGGGTTGTCAAACATTAAGTTTGTCCCAAATCCAAATCAAAACAAATAAAATGTAAATAAGAAACGAGTGGTCGAGACTCGCCAAGTTAGGTGAAAGAGAACAAGAAGGATAAAAGTTTATGCTCCGTGATACAAATGGTTGATTTTCGTTCACTTGATTTTTTTGGGTCCATTGAATACCTTACAAATCTAATTTCAAGCTTATTGAATACTATACAAATTCAATGTTTTAAAAGAAGTCACAAATATGATAAGTGGTTCTAAAGTTCAAACCCAATTAAGAAAGTAAACCTTCATAACCATCAAATCAAACCCCTTAGAATTATTTATGTTTGATTTTGTTAGCCTCTAGGTTTGTATGAGAGATTGTAACTCGCTGTTTTAATAATGAAGATGTTGATATCTTACCACGGTTGGAAGAAAAAGTTTAGGTAGCGTCCACTATTGTTTTTGTTTTCAATATTTATTTTTTCTTGAAAAATATGTAACCTTGTAGTGTATACAAGGACTTCAAGGACTTTGGACCTATATATAGTATTTCTCTTTTTTTTTTTTTTTTTTTTTTTTAAATAACTAGGATGTTCAGATCAGTTTACATGCATTGATATTATTTTGGAGTTTATTGAACACCCTACAAGCTTAATATTTCGAATTTGAAACCAAAAAGTCAATGAATAAAACAAACCTTTTTGACCATTAAGTCAACTCTTTGGGGTTTACATCTAATATTTCTCTACTACTAATAATAAAAGAAGATTAAACTATATCAATTTAATTTTTTAATGTAAAATGCCACAAGTTTTTAACAATTGATTTGCTACTATCTACATGATAATAAAAGAGAAGTCGAAAGTAATTCTTTAGAATAATACTGTGCGTACTAACGGATTTTACTAACCAATGTACTAACCTTTATAAATCACACATAGTACCCGTACTATGCGCATGGTACCCGTACTATGTTTTAAGTTAGTACACCAGTTTGTAGAATCCATTAGTACCCATAGCATTACCCAATTCTTTAATGTATCATTTCATCATCATTAATTAAACTCTTTGGATTGCAATTTCTTACTGTGTTTAAGTTATTGTTACTTTCAAGAATAATATAAACTCTTTTATGCAAACCGATATATCACAATCGAAAAATCATCTGAGTCAATACAATAATCAAACAAAACAACAAACGTAGTGCATGAAGAGATGAACTACCCTCATACTGTGGAGAGGAAAGAACCCACATGGTTTCAAGAGAACCTAAAGATATCTAGTAATGACTCCATTATTAATCTTTTGATCAGAAAACGTCAAGATTAGGGAAATTTCTTTATTCCCTCCCTTCAACATTTCATTATTTGTTTAATTTGTTTGTAGTATGAGCTAATAGTAATATAATTGTTATACATTTCGTCCACACAAATAAAACGAACAAGCCAGCATCTGGCCTGAACCACTGGTAGGATATCATGACTCCGGAGCTGTACAATTAAGGGTCTGAAAAGTTAGTGAATTTTTCCTGTGTTGGTAAACCGTTAGCGAAGAGTTAAAATATTACAAGTTAATAAATATTTGCTTAATTGTTTTCCTATCATTCGTTTTAATGCCTAAAACTTAAAATACTGTAATTCAAATTTGATATCTGCAATTAGGTTTCATGAATTTTTATATGGGTCAAACTCAGCCCAATACTAACCCAAAACCTACAAAGTTAAGCCCGGCCCGTCGCGGCTCACCCGATCGGGCCAGGCTTTCTTGACATCCCTGTTTCAAACTGCTATTAAGATCAAGTGTGAAAATGTTGTTCTTCATACAACTGAATCAGGTTGAAGAAATTATTCAAGAATACAGAGAAGAAAGGAATAATGGAGCTTCATAGATGGTGTACCGTGGTTCACTGAACAAACAAATCAGAGAAACCAAAAAATCAACCAGCATGGCAGTCTCCAGGAGCAAAAAAAAAATTGACAACAAAAAGAGCTCCGTCTCCTGCAGCATAACTATCAAAAATTCACTAGAACTAAGGTTTAAGACAGAACCCCTTCCCAGTTGAGATGAACAAAGAAAAATTATGAACCCTGAAAGCTGAAAGGAATGAAAGACATAGAGTTTTATCCCACACGCAATTAAGTTTTCTGTTTTCTTCTAAAAGACAGTTGTCCGTTTAACACTGAAAATCTAAAACATAGCTAAAGACAGCACACTTCCAAGGAATCCTAGCTATCTGCCACAACCTGGAAGAGCCCACAATAAATTTGGCTCCTCTGCAGAATTGAGCCTTGAGCATTAGAGGAATATATAGTCAGCTGTCTCTTCACTTTCACTTCACATGATAAAACAAGATGAGAATAGACTCATTTTTGGGTACTTTGGATGATGCATGCAATGCTAATTCTTCTATAGATGCAAATAATAAAATGAAGGGTTGGTGTGATATAGAAATTGCAGGAGGTACATAATGAAATTTAACAGTCCTAGCAACTTGCTATTAGAATATGCAAAAAATCCTGAACTTCACGGCAGACAATTTACAAAGAGATATGCATGTGTACTGGAAAATACCACCATTGCAAAACAATAAAAATCTATCATAAAATTGTTTCCAGTCAAACACAGAAAAGCAGAAAGCAGAAGTTACTTCATGACACAACATCAGGTACCCCTATAAAGGACGAACTTGGATCACTATATCCGAGCATTGCATACTCAGATCCTCTCACATGGACACTAAAGCAAGCATTCTCTATTTTTACCACGCTTTGAAGCATTGTATCCATCTTTGTCTTCATGTCAGAACCATCATCCATAAGAGGAACAAGAAGAGTCAACTCCCTATAAATATCACGTGCGAACCTACATATCTGCTGAGCAAATTCAAGTTCACCATCTGATATTCGACCAATAGCCAGCCGCATCAATTCGCCTGTCACGTCTGAGAGCCCTAAGATATAGTCAAGGACGTTGATTTGTAATGGCTCAAGTGCAGGATCACTGAGTCGTAACAAAGTGGCATTTATCTCTTCAATATTCAAAAGAGTTCCAGTTCTACAGAATTTGCAGAATGTTGCAGCTTCCACATATTCTTGCACCCCGGGAGAGTATGCTCGCCTTAGCTTCCAAAAATCAGTCCCTTGCAGTTCTTTCACCAATCTGGACACGTACCGATCTGTCACTGCTTCTAAATCCTCTTCTGCCTTCCTTAAAACTTCTTCTTTGTTGGATCTACTAATTCTATGGACCTGAAATATAACCTTCTTGCTATTAATGGTGATATCACGACTTGCCTTTACCACTCTCTCACGTTTGTCATTGAGGTTGTTCAGGTAGTCTGCATATTTGGCAAAGGCATCCTTCATGAAGGACTCTGTGCTCATTGTCCTCGCCCTCTTTGGTGAACTCTCCAACACTGTTCCTGCAGGTTGATAGAGTCGGTGAGGATTGGGTTTAGGCGCCATGATTAAGTGTGAAAACCCCCTGAATGCATAATATAAATTAAAAACTACACAAATTATGAAACAATACACATAACTAGATAAGCAATTAGGAAACAATACAGTCTATACCCTTACCTTGTGTAGGGCAGTAAACTTTTTCCGTTGAAGGCTATGAATCTGCTTAATATTCAGAAAAGAAAAAAAAAAGACAAACAAAAAGCATAGAAATCAATATAGAGGAACCTATGGAGATAAAAATTCAAAACCAAAAATTCGTTTTCTTGCCGTGTAGACTGAACATTCCAACATCAAAGCAAAAACATCACTTTTAATTGCTAACAAAATTAAAACCACGCAACAAGAAACTAGGTCGTGATAGGTATGCTACTCTATCAATACCAGTATAAACACAAAGAAGGCACACAAAGAAGAAAACCATGCTCTAATCATTGGGTTCCTACTATAGCAATAACGAAATACTCGCTCCCATATGGTAAAATATTTTCCGCTTGGCACCTAACACGCACGGTTTTGCTCTTAGACTTCCCCAAAAAAGCCTCATACTAATGGAAGGGCATCGTACCGACCCTCTCCAAGTAAAAAATAAGGGATTCAGACTAAAACCCTTAAACCCCCACCCTCACTTCATCTATATCAACCCTAAGCAGCAAAATGAGATTCAACGTTAACGAATCCTAGACAATCGGTTTTCAGAGTTTCCAGATTAGCTATCATTTTCTTTGCAAAATCAACAAAACGTGTGCTTATAAGAACCACAATTTTTGCATTTTTCAACTAGCCAAGAGCTAAATACTTCAAACCGAACAGACCAACAACAAAAAGATAACTTTCAGTTGTGGCTAAAATAGATATCACTGAAACCAAGACACCCGTATACAATATCACATGATGAACAAAAATAAATTTGCACTGAAGATATTTCAGTAGAATGCAATTGAAAGAACATACAAATCAATAACGACCCAGATGAGAGTTAATTGTGTAAGTTTTACCTGATTTGCGAAATACCCAGTTCGAATAAATGGGAAACGAACATTTAAGTGGTGGTGATTGCTAAGGTTTTCAATAAATATTACGCATTTACATGCCACTAAAGAAACTGAAGCCGATTTTTAACTTCTGAGAAGAAGAGTGAAACGGCGGCGTTTTGAGGGAGAGAGTGAGGGCAACATTTGGCTGTAAGGCAAAAATTAATTTTTAATAAAAGAGTCAAATAAATTACGGGGAATTTACTTTAAAAAATTATATTATAATAATGTAATCGATTTTAAAAAAAAAAAAAAAGTAAGTGGCTTAACTCGGGGTGATTGGATCCAGATAACCCGCATTTTTTTAAGAGGTTCCAATTGTGGTTTGGGTACCCAAAATTACCCCCATAATTATTAAAAAATAACAAATACACCCCCTACAATTTATAAAAACTAAATTCAATCCTGGTTCTTACCCGGCTACCGAACATCGATTCCGGTTCTAATTCCCTGTCCCAGCACTACAGAAACCGAAATCAGACCCAAAAATTCCCTGTTCCACCGATTCTATCATTTATTCATGCTCACCCTTAGTCTTAACGAATGTTTTTTATATAATTTTACGGTATTCCTTCCAACTCCCACTATCTCGTGAGGAAACATCCCGTGCGATGTAACACAAGGGAGGCCTTATCGACTACTGAGCTGCCCTTCATGAAATTTTGGACAGTTACCCGAATCTAGACCATAGTCATTTGTCCGGACGGGCCACAAAGCTCTTACGATCAATTTGGAACCTTGAAGGGAAGGGGAGCTCTGATCCTTAGCTTTAGGATTGTGAAAGAGGTTGATGCAAGTATTGATGATCAAGATTTGTACGTGGCTCTAACAAAACCCAACATAGTAGTGTACGCCAAGAAATGGATTTTAATCATGCATACATCCTGCGTCAAAAAATTAACCAACAAGAAGAAATGAGATTACAGCAATACATGGTGATTATCGAGCAAATACAATTCAAGAACACTATTCTTAGCAAAGTAAACACAATAAACAACTTCAAACCCTTCTCAACAACAAGGTTTTAGATTACCATTATCCTCTCATTTCTTTTATTTATTTATTTATTTTTATTTTTTATCATCAAAGATGTTCAGACTAGTTTGCGCGAACCTCAACTAATCCTCTAGAGTCCTAGTTGTCGGTTAGGTAAAAACCCTAATGATCACTTATGTTAGTGCTTAGAGCGACTCAAACTCAGAAACTCATGAAACCTCTTTTTACTCTTTTATTATCAAGTCACCCAATGATTGTTTATCCTTGATATCTTGTTATCACATAATCTAATATTTAGGCTGCTCACATTTTGAGCAAATGCTGAACTAGCAGGTTACCATCTAACAATATCGTTAGTCACTGAATGCTTACACTAGAAGAATTGCAGCTTCAGTGATCTGTGGTACTTATAACTTTTCAAGGACTTATACTCATCATTAAGTTAGTAATAGACCACCTATTTTCGTTTTTCAAAAAGTTCAGCAATGACAAGCAGAAATTTTTGGAGAAATGTATTTTGATGTATGACAAAATGAGGATGCGGCCAAGAAAATTTAAGCCCATTCAAGTAATAAAGCAAACAATAAAACACATTTATAGCCATTATGAAATTTAAAATTAAAATTATGCCCTGTTACAAAACACATTTATACATCAACTTTGAAACTAAATGTAAAATGTAGTTTGACTCTTATATTCATCACACATTATTGTTGGCTACATACAAAAGACATTCCTTAAACCATTGTAACTCCATCTGCATCTACAACGCTGCACTGATGACTTGAACTTTGTATCTAATTGCAAAATGTTGTGTCACATATCCCTTAAACCATTGTAACTCCATCAACATCTGCAAAGTTGCACGGATAACTTTGAATCTAATTGCAAAATGTTGTTTCACATATCCCTTAAACCATTGTAACTCCATCAACATCTGCAAAAATGAACCAAAAGCCAAAGCTTTGCATCTAAATGCAAAATGTTGTCAGACTCTTATATTCATCACACATTATCGTCTGCCACATACCCAAGTCCTATCCCCTTAAACCATTGTAACTCCCTCTGCATCTGCAAAGCTACACCAGAGTTATCTCCTTGAACCATTGTAATTCCCTCTGCATCTGCAAAGCTGCACCGGGGACTTGACTTGAAGGCATTAACCTTGCATCTAAATGCAAAAGGTTGTTGACTTTCATAGTCATCACACATGGGCAAGAATTCTAACTATTTCAAGTGTTTGCACATAACATACATGTTAATTTTGTGCATGCAAACACATGAATTAGTAGCTCGGCCTAGCGGGGATAATGTGTAATTTTTGGCGCAAAGCACCTATAATATAAACAAATAGCAACTTTCAGAATTTTATGACGGTAAAAATATGATCCAATAAATAAATGAATATATATAGATAGGTTACAAACCAAAAATTTTGTTGAAGAAAAACCGAATGAGTGATTTTTGCCAACTGCTTTGATCTCTCAATCGGGTTTTTCTTGTTCCCCTCGGCAGTACTTTCACGGCGACAAATATTTTGAAAGTCAACCCTGCAAAGACAAAGACAAGGATTATTAATTTCTAAATTTACATGGTTGCTCATTAGGTGATGTTCACTAAAACAGGATCTAGCTAACACAGTTCTACTTTCAAAATCACCCAGAATAATGCATTCTAGTTGAAAAGATTATCACAAGAATCTGATGAAAGGTTAAACAATTCACAATCCTGATAACATAACATCTCCAGAAGGATTGCAGCAACAGATCCAAAAAATAATAATAATATATTTAACATTTCCCCCTTCTTGAATCTTTCAATAATTGACCTTCAAATCCACACCAATTTACATAAGATTAAGATAATTAATAACATAAAACCAACTTAACAGAGATCGATCAATCCTCAAACATTTCATTTCTGGAAAGCTCAAAACAATCTAAATCAACAACAATTCAAGCCCAAAAAAATAAACAAGTAGATAAAATGGATTACCTTAAATTTTCCAAGGCCCCCCGTTCCAAAATGGAAGGGAAAATAAAAGTGAAGTTGATCGCTGAAAAATGGCTACCGGGCTTACATCGCCCGTGACCCACTTTCTCCATATCGCAAACCCACCACCAAGTCAAAGAGCAATTGAGTGAAGAAGCAGCTGATGCTTGCTTTGATTTAAAGACTTTCAAAAGAGTAGGGCTGACGCCATTTTCACATGCAAAAGGTTATAAAACAATACGAAACAATCAAGGAGATTTTCTTTTCCAATTTCTTTATCAAAAGAGTACGTTTATTTTTTTTTTTTTCTATAAGGGTATTTAAGTCTTTTCATTCATTTTCCATTAAGATGTTATTATTTAAAACACATCCGTAATTATCAAAAACTCCATTAAAAAAAAATTCAAAGAAACTCGTTTAAAATATCCAATAATTCTTTAAAAAATTAAATATAAAAAAAGCATTTTTGTTTTTTTTGGAATGAAATGGATGAGTTTAATAATACATAATTTTACAGAGGAAAAAATTGACCATCATAGTAAATAAATGTCCCGTCCCATCGAAGTTTTGAAAAAATATTCATCTACCCTCTTCAAATGATATGATTGTGGTGTAAAAATAAAAATTTTCATAAGATATGTACATAGAAAATACATTTTTTTTTTTTTTTAACAAAAGGGTCCACCTAAAAATTATTTATTCTTAATTTAGTTTTCAAAAAATTATTTACATAGTACATAAAAAATATATCTTTTCAAAGGTATTTTCCATAGTTATTTAGTTCAACATAGTGTCAAGCGAGCTAGCAAAGAATATAAATTAATATTCCTCTATGTTTTAATTTTTGCTGATATTACCATATTTTTCATAGATTTCATCTATTCAGTACTCGCTAAACTAAAGTGAAACCAGAAATAATACAGAATAGAGTTTGCCATGAATAGACAAGTAATAACCAGAGAAATTGAATTGATTCCCCCATTTCTTGAATGATAATTCATCCATTTTCTGTGGCCAAGATCAATGAAATCAAGATACTTTAAAATCTTCAACTCTGAAAACCTTAACCATATTGTAAGCTACTTTTTTCCACACCAATGATTCATTCAACAAACGAAAATAAAAGCAAAGCATCCACTCTCTTTCTAATCACAGCTGTTGAGTCCTTGAAGCTTCTAAGGCAGTTGATTCCTTTCTTGCGGATATAAAAAGCAGACTAACCACTAACCATTAAAAAAGGGAATATATGGATGCTTCACATATTGGTTTTCCTCTGGTTCTTTGCTGCTTCAAAAATTTCACCATGAAATAAACTTTCCAGCTTTTCACCATATGAATATTTTAAACCTGAATGCTAATGTTCACCAAGTGCAAAAAGAGACACCTCTTTCTAAAATTACGACAGTTTCGGGCAGCGATACATCCATTTAACACATAAAAAGTTATCCACAATTTTCAAAATCAGAGAAGGTGAAATTGAAATTAAGAATCACGAGACCAAATATGAACATAACAAGTATCTTCCTAAAATATCACTGCAACAATGGTTTATTAAAATGTCACGAGTTTGAAGTTTGCAGCACTGTGTATAAACCAGAAATATTTGACAGCATTATTCAGTGATATATGGAGAAAATTATCAGCATGGCTTAACAAGTTTCACTTGGATACAGTACAGTAAAGCAATGCCAAGGAATGAAAACATAACCAATAATATGAACCGAAATGCAACCTTCAAGCTTTAAGGGTTGGACTTGACAATAAAATTCTGGCGACTGATGGGGTTCATTACAACAGGAGGACCAGCAACACGAGGCCATGCTTGGAACTTCTTGTCAGTCTCTTCCCACCATTGCTTGTTCGAGACGGTGCCTGGGGTGGTACCTGATCATCAAATTAAAGATACTGTTTTAAGCCACAGAAAACCAGTAAAGAAAGACATAAGAAGGTAAATTACCAAAGTTTTACCTCCAAATATCTTCTTGTCAGCAATTATGTAGTCACATGCGTAAGCAACAGCAAAGGACGCTGCCAGAGATCCTATGATGTACTTTGTTGCCATGTTACAACTGCAATAGATTGAAGAATGTATGTCAAGAGACCTGATACAAGAACATCAGCAGTTAAAGTTCACTGAGCTTCCAAAGTTAGGGCACTTATTTTGCAGAATCAGTTTCATATACAAAAATGAATATAGTATAAACCACCTCACTTGAAAAGTTTGTCTATAACACTAAGGAATTTATTTATAATCCATATCGTAGTATTAACAACCTCGTATAAAACAATATAGAATGCATTCTATCTGTTTCATTTTAACATAGGTAAGTATTTCATCTGTTTCACTCTAAAATTAGCTAGATAACACTAGAGTTATAACAAAATTAAAGAGACTGTAGAATTCTTCAGTAAAATTAAAAATTAAAAAAAAATACTGGACAAGCAGGTGATCACCTAAATGCAACACCACAATTTCGCACCAATTAAGTCCTCCATCCAGTTTATGCAACTCAACAAAAGGGCATACAATTGAAGAAAATAAAATGTGATACATTTCTGAGCCGCATGTGATGTGCGAATATATGGACATTATGCCATCTCATACACGAATACATATTCCAGGTACCTCTCCCATTCATACAGAAAAGAAAATATCCAAGTAAAAAAGAAAAAGGAAAGGAAAGACTCAGGTACGTAAGAAGTGTAGAAAGCACATTTTCCCTTCCAATAATTAATGATTACTATGCAATGAAACAAAAAATAAATATGCAAATCAAGAGTTAAACATCATAAAGGAATAAAAACCCCTTCTAGTGAAGAAAATAGACTCTTCAAAAAGTAAGTTCAATCTATTCAAAGACTTTTCCTATTTCTCTCATTCCAATCAGAAACAGGCTACTTCGTTTTCCAGCTGTATATAACCCAATTAAGAGTTATTTCTATTTCTCCAATTTCATGTAATTATTCTTTTTAAACATCTTCGAAAAAAAGAATAGATCTTTTAGTTAGTTAATCATACCAGATATGGTATAGTCCCAGTTGCTCCATTCAATACTTATAAAAACACATCAAACCTAGTTTTCTACAAAATTCATTCTCTTCAAACCATAATTTTCGCAGAGGTTATCTTCCACATAGAAAACCTTGATTAATGATAATTAAGCTAAAAGTACAGATGGCCTTCGAAATTTTGGTAGCACAAAATCCATTTCTATGCCAACTGTCTAACAAATCTTCCATAATACAATGTAAACAAACCAAAACATACATTCTCACCAACTGCAATGAAGACTTATCCAACAAAAGAACCACAAAACAGCGAAAGCCAATTTCCCTAATTCACCTAAAATCAAAACCCTAAACTCTCAGAATTAATTAAAAGAAACGCGAAATCACACAAAACCATCACCCATGAAATGCTGGAAAACAAACGAAACAAAGCAACTTCTTCTATCCAGAGTAGCTTCAACTGCCAAATAGACACACCAACACTTTAACATAACAAAGCCACCCACAATATTAAACACAGCATCCAAATCTGAATTTACGTTATTTTCCTACATTTTTCCACCAACCAAACAGTCATATAAATCCGAAAAAACAGCCACAAACGACTTCAAACAAAGCCACTTAAGATTACACAATATAAAGATAATTTAAAGAGGTAAAAGTCTACAGCAGTATTACGAAATAAATAGACTCCAATTTTGGATTTTTAAGTTATTTTCCCACATCTCCGGCAACCAAGCCGATAATTTTACTCCAGAAAAAGCCTCAACAAACGAATCCAAACAAACCCACTTCAGATTACACAATATAAAAACAAATCGAGACACCAAACAATCTAATAAAACAAATAAGACTTTTAAAATTGAAAATACGCCCAGAAACAGCAGATTCGAACTATCTTACAAGAGAACACCGTGAAATATGTAGCTAAGACACTTTAATCAATTCGAAAAGTAACGAAAACACTCACCGATGAGCCTGGACGGGGCGGCGAATACTGGAATTGACGTGGACGACTTCTGATATTGGCTAGAGAAAGAACTAGAAGAAAGCTATTTATTGCCGGCCTGTCCGTTTAGTTGGATCCGGGTCAATCCGTTTTTTCTATTCGGATTCGGATCGAATCCAGCTAAATTGTGGAAGAGGGTGAGTTACTGAGTTTATTTGCAAAAAGAAATACTCTCACTAACCTATTATTTAAATATTTATTATGAAAATTCTAAAAATTAGATTTTTATATGAAATATTTTCATAATTCTATCATAAGACTAATAAATTATTCCTTACTAGAATATAAAAAAATTAAAATCTATACATAAACTTCAAATACCTTCAACTAATAGTACAAAATTGAATTATTTTCGAATAACATATAATTTCATGTTTTCTGTCATATATCAACATTTAAATAATGAACTTATTATTTTTTTTTCACATAATTTCAAAATTTTATTACTTTTTTTTCCCTAGTTGAAGTGAGAAAGGTTTTTAACTACTCTTAACATAGTTAACATGAATGAAATATTTAATTAAGTTCAAAACACTTTCTTATATATAGAGAGATTTTTTTTCAATTTCTATTCCATATAATATCCGCAAGAGAACAATTCTTATTTTGAAGTAATTGGTGGAGTCTTTCTTTAGATCGTGATCCGTATTCAAATTTATATCTTTAAGATGTATTATGCTATATAATATAAATCGAATTGAATTGGTTGAAATTGATTAAAAAAAAAAAAAGCAAAAATCTTTCCGCTTGTATCTCTGGCTAGTTTTGGCATACTACATTTATGGATGAAAATATATCACCCAAATTATATATATATATGACAATTACTCATACAAAGTCTTCAATGATTCACATATCGCTCGTTCTGTGATACAATAAGATACTCAAGAGTTCAATTGTTACCAAGCATGAAGCTCATCAAAATCAAGCTTACAAACACAAAACCATGCCCTGTATCAACTGGTTAACATTTGCCAACTGAAGCTCAGGATGGAAACAAAGCTTCAATCCAGGAAAGGCAACTAGACTTTTCATGCATTTGAGACTCAACTAAATTAAAGACATCGCATAATCCTGACATTTTAGGGAAGCCCTGACAAGAGTCAAATATCGGATCCCACTTAAATAACTCTAGAACATAATATAATCGAATAACAAGTTGATTAGTACCAATTGAAGAAGCTGATGATTTAAACGACTATAGAAAAGAATATAAGGATGTATACACATCGCGACCTTGCTATCAGCCTTTCTAAAGGTAAGAAATGGATCAAAGCAGTAAGTTGCAACCAAGACAATCAATCAAAACTCCATATTAACACCACCAATTACAAAGGTCATGTTGAAATTAGTACTAAAGCAAGAGCCACATTTGAAGACACTGTTTCATGTTATGCAAATCTGTGATGATGCAAATAAGTGCAGAAGCCCCAATTTCTAAAACAAAGTTACTGCATAAAGCACCAAGGGAATGCTCTACATAAAAGGGAATCAAGGCAACAAGTTGTCGTCAAAAAGCAAAATAAAAATGCCAATTCAAAACAATCAACAAGAAGACTCTGGATGAAGTTCAACTTATTTACAAATGAAATGTTTGAACAAAGTTGAATATATAATTATGCTTTAGTCCACAACAGATACAACAGTGACCATTAGTCCCCATGCTAGACCAAGACTCAGCAATGCTACACTGAGGAATGGTTAAGCAGAATGGTCTTCAACAGGCTCTTGTCATCTATACCATCACGCTTCTATTTTGTTGAGGTATATTATTCTTAGCCTTCCTCATTTGATCATTGTGTTGATCCCATGTCTGAACTTTTTTATGAATACACTCCTCTTTCATGTTATCCATAAGACAACATCACGGATAATATCATGTACTGTGAATAAATTCTTCTTCATTACTCACTTCTCGTAGGTACAATTTTCCCATTAAATGGGATACATAAAGCAACATCACAAACAATATCATGCATAGTTTCACGTTCTTCCTCATTACTTGCCTCTCTTTGGATGTTATCCATAAAGAAACATCACAAACAACATCATGCATAGCTACATGTTCTTCCTCCTTACTTACCTCTTGTGAATATATTCTTTCCTTTGGATATTATCTATAAAACAACATCATACCCCTCTAATCCTTGTTTTCCCATTTTTGCTTTCCTGGGCATTACCATAGAATTCCATTACTACCATTTTTAGCATAATCTTTGTTCTACGAGGTATTTGCATAAAATTTCATCACTACCAAACCCACAGCAACCTCAGGCTCCTTGCGCAACTTCTCACAGCCCAAAGCGGCAGAGAGCTGCAAAAATAAATCAAAAGCGCTTCAAAACCTAACCCTTCGAGCTACAGTTCAAAAGCAAAATAAAAACCCCAACTCAACACAAATCATTAACATTAGAAATATACATCTAAAAGGATTAAGCTAAAAATAAACCAATTACAAAGGTCATGTTGAAATTAGTACTAAGGCAAAATCGACAATTGAAGACAATGTTTCATGTTATACAAATCAGTCATACTGCAAAAGCAGTACAGAAGCCCCAATTTCTAACAGAGTTACTGCATAAATCACCAAGGGAATGCTCTTGATAAATGGGAAGCAAGGCAGCAAGTTGTTGGCAAAAAGCAAAATAGAAAAGCTAAGTCAGTGCAATCAACAAGAAGAGTCTGGATTAAGTTCACCTTTTACAAATGAAGCTATTCACCAAATGATCTGAGACGTGTCAAAACAAGGTTAATCAACTCAAAGCCAAAAGAATCAGACAATATGAAATTAACTTTGACAATAAGAAATTGAATATATTATGCCTTAGTCCACCACAAGTACAAAATTGACCATTATTCTTAGCCTGCCTTCATTTGATCTTTCTATTGACCTCATATCGAACTTATTTGTGAATACATTTTTCCCTTTCAATGCTATCTACAAGATAACATCACGAATAATATGTATTGTTACATGTTCTTCTTCGTAACTCACTTCTCATAAGTGCACTTTTCCAATTAGAGGGGATCCATGAAACAAACAAACAACATCATGCAATATTTCATATTCTTCTTCGTTCCTCACCTCTTTTTGGATGTTAAACATAAAGCAACATCACAACCAACATCATGCATAGTTATATGTTCTTTCTCACTCCTCCCCTCTTGTGAACATATTCTTCTTTAAATGCTATCCATAAAGCAATATCACAAACAATATCATGCATAGTTACATGTTCTTCCTCATTCCTCCCCTTTTGTGAACAGATTCTCTCCTTTAAATGCTATCCATAAGACAACATCACGAACAACATCATGCATAGTTACATGTTCTTCCTCATTCCTCCCCTCTTGTGAACTATTCTCTGCTTTAAATGCTATCCATAAAACAGCGTCACGAACAACATCATGCATAGTACATTTTCCTCTTCATTACTCACTGCTCACGACTACATTCTCTCCTTTGGATGCTATTCATATCATCTCTTACATGCTATCCTAAGCACAAGATGCACCAAAAAGCAACCAATTCGGAGGTGATTGATTCCACTTTAGATGAACCAATTCAAAAACAGCCTCCCGAGCCTCCTTAAAGCCCTAAAACATGTTGAAGAGCAGAAACTTAACGATCATGGATCACTAAAAAAAAAAAAAAAAATTTAAAAAGCAAACCAGCCAGGAGAGACTTGAAAAGACACTTTATAAACCAATACACATATGCATAACTCGATTTTTTTACAAACCCTAACTAAAAGCCATGAACCAAACCGAATCATACCCTATTTCATAAAATACATACTTACATGCAATATTAAAAATAGAAATCTAAAAGGTTGAGCTAAAAATAAATAAATAAGCAACAAGTTCCTTATGGAAAAATGCATTCAAAAAGCAAATAAAAATCCCAACTAAATACAATCATCAAGAAATTAAGAACTACAAATCATAAAGATCAAGCTACAGCATCTCATAGCAACATTTCTTGCAAGCAAAAACAGCTAAAAATCAAAACCAAAAATAAATAAATAAAAACGGAAATTATAACTTACGGAGAAAATTTCTTGCCAACTCCTCCCATACCAATAAAGGAAGGGAGCATATGATTATATGCTTATACCTTGGCCTCCAACTTCTTTTCTTCTTCTTCTTCTTCATTCCCACCTGCAAAGGAAGAGACAGGCGGCTGTTTTGAGTAAAGCTAAAGCAGTGTGATGAGATATTCAGCTGAGATGACCCAGTCTTCAAGCATTTGTTTCAGTTTATATTTATAAAAAGATGTTCGGCCTTTGGGCTAGCGCAAGTTTTGCTGGTCCCTTTCCTATGCTATGAATTTCGGGCTTATGAGTAAACAGCCAGCCCATGTAGCCCACGGATATAATTACATAAATACTGTTTTAGACCGTTATTAAGAAATTGTTCAATGGTTAATAGCGATTTATGTAATTTTCCTATCACTCATTATAGGCCAAACGACATCTTTCCCCCAAACTTGCCTTAACGACATTTTGTTACTGTTACGATTAAAACTATTACCAATTTCAACTTAACAAATAAAATTAAGAATCATCACAACACACACTCTAATATCTCACTCTCTTCCCACTAATCACTCTTCTTTACACCCATAAATCTGCCCCAAGGAACTCAACCTGAAAACCCTTACACCCCACGAGTAACCCAACCCTCACAAAATGACTAAATGTCACTACTACAATGACAGATTTACAAAGAAGGAAAAAATCGGAGAAAAGCAAGCCTAATACGTGCAGATCTAAAAAACAAAAGAGAGAGTATTCAATTGTGTTTTTGTGTTGACTTCAGAAAGAGAGGATGATGCTTTATACTCCTATCCAGGTGGTAACAAGACAGACTTCAGATCATATTACATATCCACTGTCAGGAAAGGTGCAAGGCAAAGCGGCAGCATATCAATTTAGTTTGTGCGATTCGTTTGACCTCACCTTCAACAATTCCACCTTGAAGTCAGAATTTCTAGTAGCAACACACCAACTTACTTGTGCAGAGAACTCATCATCAATTGCTTCTTTAGTTATACTCCTAATGCCTAGCCGATGGACAACAAATCCAAGCAATGTTAAATTTGGTAGCAGTGACTACTTTTGTGCCATATCTGAAGATATTTCAGTTGGAATCTTTCTTAGTCAATCACTTCCTTAACAATAGATCCCTTACAAAGGATAAACTTGCATCCACATGCTTGGTCCTCTCATGGAAAACTAGGTTTTGCTTAGATGTATAGCTTGTGGCTGTCTGAATACACTGTACCCATATTGTCCACCAAATTGGCTTCCTTCAAAATTCCTTGAACCACAATGCTTCTTTGAAGGCATCAGCCATAGTACGTATTTAGCCTCTGTGTAGACAATGCAACAAGAGGCTGCAATTGGGACTTCCAATTAACTGATCAAGTCCCACCCAGGTGAAACAATAGGATGTGGTTGATTTTCTTGTATCTTGTCACTTCAAAGTTAGAGTCTACAAATCCCACAAGATAAGTGAATTACCCTTTACAATAGTTTAAACCAATATGTAAAGAACCATGACATACCTAAGCAACCACTTTAATGCAATCAATGATCTAGTCAGGATTAGACATAAATCTACTAAGTAATGAAATTGCAAAGGACAAATCTGTCTAATGCTAATCATGGCATACCTTACAAACCCTATTGCATTAGAGCAGGGGATATTCTCCCATCTTAATCATTCAACATCAGATTTAGGGCATTGTAGTTTTCTCAAGATAAAACGACTTGCAAGAGACAAATTACAGGTTTGGATTCGGACATACCAAACTTAGTGACCAATTTTTGTAAGTATGACAACTGATGGACTCTTAGTTCATGATTTTTCTATTTCTTTCATTGAACATTCCTAGAATTTTCTTAACAGATCCTAAGTTCTTCATATCAAATTCTGAGTTCAGTTTCAGTTTTAAATCTTTATTTTGATTCAGACTATAATTAGGAGCATGTCATCAAATATAATAGCAAGTAATATGCATACATCGTGGAGGCAAAATAAAAACAGCTATCATATTCGCTTCTAGAGAACCCAATGCTCAATATAAAAGTATGAAACCTTTTATACCATTACCTAGTGATTGCTTACGGCCATAAAGGGATTTATACAAAATCAAACAGGTTAGGTAGTTCTATGAATCAATAGGTGTGTATAAAGATCTTTTCCTCTAACTCCACGTGAAAATGCAGTTGTTTTTATGTGTTCTAATTCAAGGTCATAATGACTACTAAGGAGAGCATTATCCTAATTGTTTTAAACTTAACAACAGGGGAGAAAATCTCCTTAAAATTTATACCCTCCCTCTATATATACCTAGCTACTAAACGAGCCTTATATTAGGAGTTAGTAGGGGACATCCTTTTTGAGCTTGTACAGCCATTGCATTCATAGGTTTATAATCTATGGATTTAGGGACCAAGACCATGTCCATTTACTTTAGTGACTGCATTTCTTCCTCCATTGTAGTCACCTATTTTCTTTGTCCTAGATCTATAACAGCCTCAAGTGTTGGTTCAATCCTTTGAACTTCAGTTCCTGCCACCAAGGCGTGTAGATCACGTCTGCATAGGAGTATCTATAGTGGCTCTAGTTTCTCTCTGGTTTTGTCCTTGCCAACTGGTACTGTGCTAGGTCATCATGAAGTGGTTCTTCAGCTTCTAATGTTTGGTCAAGACCCTCAGTGGTGTATCAAATTCAGGTTCAGTTTCGGTCATGTGAGGAGTATCAGGCTTTGTGGAATTTGCTCCACTCAATTTGAGTAACCCTGTTTGAATACGACTTATTCATGTATTAGGGATACCTGCATTTGGTTAGTGAATACAAGGGAAAACAGTTTCATTAAACACAACATCCCTACTAATTATGATTTTTACCCCTAGTGACTCTATTCCATAGTCTATACTTAGTCCCCTCTTGGTATCCTAAGAATATACACTTTAAGACCTAGGGTCTAATTTCCCTTCACTAGTGGTGTATATGCAGCACACCCAAATAATCTCAAATGGTTTAGGCTAGGCTTTCTTCCTGACCATTTTTGTTCTGGGGACATTACTCTATGGCAGGGAAGGGCTTCTTTTCACTAAGTATGCAACTGTGGTCAAAGCTTCTCCTCAAAATGTCTTTGGTAAATCTGAAGTACAATGAGGCATCTAACTTTTTCAAGCAAGGGTATATTCATCCTCCACAACACCATTTTGTTGAGGAGTTTTTCTAACTGTCTTATGTAAGGATCCCTCTCACTCATTTGTCAAATTCTGCGTTACAGAATTCCAGACCATATCAGTCCTAAAGGCCTTAACGTTCCTATCAACCTGATTTTCCACTAATAGTTTCCAGTTTTTGAACTTAAGTAAAGCCTCATCTTTAGACCAAGTAGGTAAACCCAAACTTCTTACTAAAATCATCTACAATTGAGAGAAAATAAACTATCCCTATAGACTTAACCTGTTCTAAACCCCACAATTAGCATGTAGATAATCTAAACAATTAGTGGCAAGGTGTACACCTTTTGAGAAACTCATACAGTGTGCTTACCACACACAAGTTTCACAAAAATTAAGAGGAGAGATAGTGTCCTTACCAAATAGTCCTTGTTGTGAGAGGATGGTCATCCCCTTTGGCATATGCCTATCCTCAAATGCCATTTTTCTTCACATTAGGGTTAGAAGAAACAAGAGCATTATTGAATTTATCAGAATAGTGGTTCCACACAGTATATACAGCCCATTTTTTTCAAACCCTTTAACACTATGTTGTTACCTCATATACATTAAGATATCCATTTTTGCTTTATAACAACATCCTGATTCGTCTAGTGTTTCTAGGGAGATTAAGTTTCTTTTAGCTCGGGATGTATCTAACCTTAGTCAACTATTAATTTCCCATATAATCTTAAGGTCACTCCATTCCTTGAACTTTGCATGCATTGTTATTGTGCCATAAACACTATTTCATGTTCATCTTTTTCAAAGTCTTGAAACCTTCTATTCGGACTCATGTGAAAAGAGCACCTTGAGTCTGAACCCTCTCTAAACCTGGTCTGATCTAGACACTTGAGGACTCAGATTCATTGAAACTGTCACTAGTGGAAGCTATATTACTTTAGTGTTTGATTGTTTCGTTTTTTAATCAACCCAAAGCAATTATTTTTTAAATGTCTAGTTTTATTGCAATAAAAGCACTTCCCGTTTCCCCTTACTTTGACAGATCATTTTCCTTTCTTCTAATTCTTTGAAACAGTGACATGTTGTGTATTGTTCCGATGGCCAGATCTACCTTACCCTTTACAAACAAATTATTCCCACTCCTTTTCTGAACTTTTAATTCTAACTCTTTGCCTTTAATCCAGCAATGATTAAATCAAGACTAGGTACATACCGTATATTGTAAAGCATTTTTAACAATCTGGTACTCTTTTTTAAGGAATTAAGAAGTATCATGGCAAACTGTACAGTAAAACCCTATATAGTATAATATTGGGATAATTAATTTATTACTATGAGGAGGTTATAATTAATAGAGTGTAGTTACAAAAAAATTTTATTTTTATATTC